TTTCTTACGTAATATTACGGCTTTTTTACGGTTCGTAAATTATTACGAAATATTACGGTCTTATAAATTTGCTGATGTAGATGGAGTTTTATATGTAATTACAATGATGGTACATCAAATCACACGTGCACCTTTTGAGTGCCTAATTTAAATAGTCTGCCCAAAGGTTCTACACTATCTGCCGTACCTGTATCCCAACTAGAAAGGTATTTATTTAAACCATCTAGTTCTAACTACTTCCATTTGCCCCTAACCTGATGGGTTTATCTTACTATTTATACGCTAAATTTTGGATATCACCCAATTTAGATTTTGCTCTCTGTCTTAGGACTTACTAATCCATATAAACCTAGTCTATTCTCAAGGTAAATCTAATATAGTAGTACATGTCCTATACATATATTCACATGCTTGTTCTATAACTTTTTCCTAATTAATACATATTAATTTGTCATTTTGTATTTGTATTTCACGGCACCTTTTGGTTGTTGCTATTTTATAGACGTTTTTTAAGCACCAACCTTTCTAACTAGATGCCCATTACGTACTCTTTGCCCTTGTTTTGGTTTTTAGCAACCCCAGTACCCGCATTTAGACTGTCTTCTTACTTGGATTCTTTATTGGTTTTTTTCTTACTTCCAGTCGGCAACTCGGAAGGGTTGGTCTGTTCAGGCTTTAGGTACCTAAAGGATACCCTTCTCTTGGTCTATACTTTTGGAACATATGTCTTTTTTCTCTGGTGTGACAACCTGGCAGTTTAGCTAGTATGTCCTCTGCTACTAGGACCTGGTTGCTCAGTTTTTTGATCTCGGGCCCTGGTTTGAATTCAGCTCTCTTGTGGTACTGTTGTAAATTACTACTATCTCCAAACTCAGGACTTTTTAAAAGGGTTTTTAATTATTTTTCATTACCTTCGCGTTATCTAGATTGGTCAAAAATTCTGGGAAGCCATCTCTGCAGAACACGGCCTTGACGCTACAGGTGCTTACCATGGTGACAGTGACTTACAGCTAGAACGTATTAATGTGTATTACAGTGAGGCCATGGGCGGAAAATATGTCCCAAGGTCAGTTATTATCGTACAAGTTTTTTATAATATATATCTATTTATTGATCAAGAAATAAAGTCCGATCATTTAACATTTTGGTTATATTATCTATAGAGCTATATTAATAGATCTTGAGCCAGTGACTATGGACTCGATCCGATCTAGTCCATACGGTTCTCTTTTTCGACCAGATAATTTCGTGTTTGGTCAATCTGGTGCTGGTAATAATTGGGCTAAAGGCTACTACACTGAAGGTGCTGAATTGGTCGATTCTATCTTAGATGTTCTTCGTAAAGAATCCGAATCCACCGATTGTCTTCAAGGTTTTCAAGTGACTCATTCTCTTGGTGGTGGTACTGGTTCTGGTCTTGGTTCCCTATTATTGTCTAAGATTCGTGAAGAATTTCCTGATCGTATGCTGTGCACCTTCTCGGTTGTACCGTCTCCAAAGGTTTCTGATACCGTCGTTGAACCATATAATGCCGTACTTTCTGTTCATCAATTGGTGGAAAACAGTGATGAAACCTTTTGCATTGATAATGAAGCTTTGTACGATATTTGCTTCCGCACCTTGAAATTAACCAATCCAAGTTATGGTGATCTTAACCACCTCGTATCGGCCGTCATGAGCGGTATTACAACTTGTTTACGATTCCCTGGTCAACTAAACAGTGATTTGAGGAAGCTTGCTGTCAATATGGGTATGTTATTAATTTGTTTATATATTAAATTAAATTAAATTAATCAATTAATTTATTATTATTATTTCAATGAATAGTTCCTTTTCCACGTCTACATTTCTTTATGGTTGGTTTCGCTCCATTAACCTCCCGCGGGTCTCAAGGTTTCCGTGCTCTCACCGTACCAGAATTAACTGCTCAGATGTTTGATTCTCGTAATATGATGGCTGCTTCAGATCCTCGTCATGGTCGATATTTGACCGTAGCAACAATCTTTCGTGGTAGACTTTCCACAAAAGAAATTGAACAACAAATGCACACAATTCAAACTAAAATGAGTTCTTACTTTGTTGAATGGATTCCATCAAACGTTAAAACTGCCGTGTGCGATATTCCTCCGGTTGGTCTTACCATGTCTGGTACTTTTATCGGTAATAGCACGGCGATCCAAGAACTTTTCAAACGTATAAATACGCAATTCACTGCTATGTTTAGGCGAAAGGCTTTCTTGCATTGGTATACTGGTGAAGGTATGGATGAAATGGAATTCACTGAAGCAGAATCAAATATGAATGATTTGGTTTCAGAATATCAACAATATCAAGAGGCAACTAGTACGTAGATTTACTAAATTTGTGTGATCTTTTGTTTCCTTCTTGCAATCAATACTAATGTTTTTTGTGAATTATAGATGAAGAAGAAGGTGGCGAATTTGAGGAAGGTGGAGAAGAATATGCAGCAGAGGAAGAGGCCGAATAAAATATAAAAAAATGAATAATTAAATTTCAAGATAACAAAAACTTCCAGATATGTTTATCTTTTACAATTTACTGTTTTTTTCTTTTTTATACCTTAGACCCTTTAGCCATTTTAACACTTAAAACATTTAAATGTAGCTCTATTTGTTTGTAATATAACATTCAAATTACCCTTATTTGTTTGGTGATTTTATATGTGGGGATCTTTTTTACCGGTATATAGAAATACATTAGGAGGCATAAACGTTTTAAAAATATATATATATATATGAAATATCTATCAACATAATGCGTAAATTATATAATGGACAATTGGTTTTTTTTTTTAGTTTAGCCTTCACATAGATATACATACACTCATTCCAAATATTTTTGACTATTAAAAAAGAATAAATTTTAACATTTTATTTGAATATACTGTATATGATTTAATTTACAGATGATCATATTTCATTCTAACACAATAGAACATATCACTATATTAAGATTACTATTGTACAAATTTTTTGTAAATTCTTAATTAAATACACGTAAATTCAAAACAACGCCACTGTTTATATGTTAACATGAAATATCGGCACAAATTTCATCCAACAAAATTTCTACATTTCGTGCAAATAAATTCCTTTTATCACCTTTAGGAAATCTACATAAATACTTTGGCCAAACAATATTATCCAACATATTTGCATCATTAGGTGGCGCCATAAATGTGTATTCTTCTACTAATCCTCTAAGCACTAGCCAAGTCGTGTTCGCATTTATACGAGCAAATTCTCGAAACAATTCTCTTGCAGCAACTTGAAGCTCTTCGTTAATTTCTTCGCTTAAAAATGGCCATAGTGTATCGATTATTTGTGATGTTATTTTATTAGATAATGACACATGGTTGACCACTACCTTCATGGTTTCTAGTATCGTCTTTTTTAACCGATGTGATCGGGAAAAAGTATAATCAATAAGGCCTACAAATTCTTTATCAATTGTAGTTTGCTGAGAAAGTAATCCTTGAAATGATGGCCAAACATCTTGAATAACACGACTGGTAAAAAACTCGCCACAAGAGATAGCAATCTCTTGTATAAGTCGTGCAGCACTGAGAACAACAAATTGTTCTTTATCTTTTAATCTATTCAAAACAGAGGGCCAGATTCTATGAATTAGAGGGTAAAGTTCATAAGGAATAGATCGTAATGTTGGAAGCACTATACGTATAACGTCAAGAACCAGAACTCGTAATTGAGGTGATGATGCCGTAAGAAAATTAAGCAATTTGTCTATAATTTTCATACAAATGGCCTGTGGTCGTGTAGGCTTAGGTTTTTCATCAGTAATATTTTCGTTATTACGAGAAACAGAATCAACATCATCCTCATCTTTAGTCTCATCATCAAATTCAGACTTTTCTTTAGATTTTTGAAGATTTAAAAAATATTGACCAATTTCTTCTAGGGTTGCTTGTTCTTTTGGAACAGATGGTGTTTGAGCCTTTCCTAAAGAATAAGTCTTTACAAATTCCGCAATCTCTTTAGATAAGATCTTTGTATCAGATTCTGTGCATTCCTGAATTTTTTCCTCGTTAGTAAGATTTATATCCTTTCCTTTTTCTTCAAAAGAATCAGATATAGTAGAGACTATAGCGAACAGGGCATTTGCTAGTGGATCTAATGAATTTAGTTTCATATGGTACGCATCCAAGACATCAAAAATTTCCTCTATTGAATCATCCAAGTAGGATAGTAAAGAAATACCAACTACTCGAATCATCGCAGTAAGTACTTGTGGTGTTTTAGGATTTATCATAATTTGATTTAATTTTCTGGACACGGTGTTGACAAGATAATCAACATTTTCAAACACTAATTCTTTCTTAGAAGAATAACCACAATATATAGAGATATGAGATAAAGCAATATCGGCAGTTTCATGTAAACGATTATTTGTTTCACCAACTTTTTCAAGAACCGGATAGAGTGCATCCATTAATTCTATTCTAAAATCTAACGCTAAAACTCGAGATATGTTTGCAATTCCTTCCAACACAAGACAACTTATTAAAACAAAGTAATTCTGCGATTCAATTATTGAGTTCGTTGATGACGATATATTTGATTCTTTATTAACTTTGACTAAAGTTTTAGAATCCGGGTCATTTGTTGATATATCCGATTCGATGTATTCATGCAGCACGAATTTTGATATTCGTTTAACGTCTTGTAACGTATTTGTTGGATCAGTAACGGTCAAATATTTTAACCGTGAATTTGGTCCTATATCAATACCAGCGGCACCCAACAAGATCTCATTAATCACAAACAAACATTGGGCATGAAATCTTCTAGAACCCGGATCTCTAACATAAGCAAGAAAATGTTCGATCAGAAACGTAACATTTCCGAAATACCCGAATAAACGAATCATAATTGATATAGAAGATGCTACACGTTGTTCACGTATATATTTAAAATGTGGATGTGGAAATGATGGTAATATACGATCAGATTCCTGTGAATCATTTGATGATACAGATAACACATCATAATGCCCTACTAATAGCCTATTTTCCATTATTTGAGTACCTTCAGTATCAAAATTTAAAGAATCAAGCAATCCATCCGAAACTCTTTGTAATGACATGTTAAGTACAGTCTGTACTTCCGAACCCAATAGAGAAACAAAACCAATTATTAATGATAATGCATTATATTTCGCATTTTCATCTAGTCCGATAATATATCTTGGTAACGAAGTAAACCAGGAATTGAAATTTTCTTTAAGTATTGGTGTTAAATTTTCCATAAAATCCGGATGCATTCGCAAAGATTCCATATGTTTTTTACAAAGTATTGAAACTTGATCATAATCATCATTTAAATAAAAAACAAAAGTTTCTATTAATATATGCCCACAATTAACTAGAGACTTTGTACACTCAAAAAGTAGTTTGTAAGATAAATTCACGAAAGCTAAACGAAGTTGCCATGAAGGATGATTGCGTATAGTGAATATATGACCTATTAAGATTTTAATCTGTGATTTGGTAGCTTTATGCCATGACTTTGTTCTTTCAACATAACAATTTGGTATCTCTGACGACGATGATGATGAAGATGACTTAGGGCTCGTTTTCGTCACTGAAAGCTGGTTTGTGCTTTCACTCCCAACTAATACGTCTTTTAATTCACTCAAAGTCTCTGTCTTAGAAATAAAAGACTTACTGACGACATCATTCATTGCAAAATAAATTGCACTTGTCAAAACATCCACTATTTTTGTCAATAATTGATGATTTTCTTTTTGATCTTTCACCAAAGTTTTGCTTAAAGTACTTAAAACACCAGGTAGGAAAGCAGCTATTATTCCTGGCTCCTCGATACAAGAAATCAAACGTTCCAAAGCTTCAAGAGTTATTATTTTCAACTGTAATAAGCGCTCAGTTGTAATGATTTCAAGTAGTACATATACACAACGTCCAATAACAATTCTAAGTTGAATGTCTCTAAGTTCAGTTAAAAGTAAATCACGACGTGTTGACATATTATAATTTTTTTCAGTACTTTCAACTTTTAAATGTAATAAAGCAAAGATACATTTAACTCCAGCTAATTTTGTTTCTTCAGAAAGAGAAGAGCTAGATCTAAAAAGAGATTTATTTTTTTCTACTATTTGATCACTTTCAGTTGAATTTTTTGATCCAGAATATCCAGAATTAAATGATCTACCAATAATGCTTATAAGTAAAATTAAGAGTTGTCTGAATTGACCAGGCATCATATAATTATTCCAACTAGAGGTTAATAAAAATTCAATACAATTTAAAAAACCTTCAATAAATCCATCACTCTGTTGTAAAGTAGCATTATTATATAACTTCGATAAAGGAAAAAAAATATATTGGATCAAATCAAAGTCAAGGACTCTAGATGCATCAGGTATAGCTTCAAGATTTTTGTGTAATTTTTTGATAGTTTGAATGATTTCTTGAATTTTATCGTCAGGGAACGTGACAGCTTGCATAAGAAAGACACATAAAGGTCTTAACTAACTAGGACGGATTAACCCAGTAAAGGTTACATTTCTGTTATTCGTTTTTATTTTTAGCGAATTTTTCTTTCCGAATTCAACAATAGAATTTAAAAAATTACTAACCTGTAAAAACACTGCTTGGCGTTGTGTGTCAAGGTTGCCATCCGCAGTATCGAAAGTTGCCATTACTAAGTTAAGGTGTTTAACGTAGGTAATGATATTATATAACTTTGAATTGATAGAGCCTTAATTACTGACTTTTGGTGACTGCTTTAGTATTAAGTATTATTTATTTCAAAAAGCCCAAACAAAGACCTCAAAAAAAGTTCTTTTTGATAAAAAGAACAAATTCTATAATCACGTTATCTATAGATAGAGAGATATCTGTATATTATTCATCCTCATTAACCAATGAGATTAAAGAATAACGTTAATCTTTTTACCTAGTTTATCGTGGTCAAAATTACCGGATCGAACTCTTCGCGCCTCACACAATTACCACGTGTCAAACTAGTTCTTAATGTTTATTCTAACAGTCTTAAGAGACACTATTCATATTCAACCGTATGATTTTCATAAACCCAAATTCGATGCGCTAACTGACGAAATTAATCGCATATATGCAAATAAGGTACTACCATTGCATGAATTTGGAATTTCTGCAAATTATTTTTAAGATTCTTTGGCTAAACAACACGAACAAAGGTTATTCAAGATGTAGGCCTTTGTATATGTTTATTCGAAATAATATCTGCAAGTGAAGAAATTGTTCATTATGGGGATGGTGCGAGTTATGCGAAAGGTATTTGTTATTTTTGCGTTTAAAATTTCATAATTTAATAAAATCATGAATGGGAATGGGTAATATCATTTATAAATTGATTGTCTTTCTTTCTTAATATTAGTAACTTTTCGATTAGTTGTATTCCGTCCATTTATTGGTGAAATAATTGAAGGAACCGTGTCTAGTAATACATTTGAAGGTGTCAAAGGTAAAAAAGGAAAAAAAGCATCTCATTGCTTGATTAACCCGATAATGTAAATTAATTAAAATTTTCTTTTATACGATTAGTAACTTTGGGTTATTTTGATGATATATTAATCCCTACGCATAATGATGATGGTTGGAAGTTGTAAGTGCTAATTTATTCTCTTCATGTCGATAAATCATTTTGTTCTCTTTCATTAAACTTTATAAAATCCCTTTGGATCAATTGTTTCTTTAATTAATTACAAGTGATCACGAGACTCAAGTGTGGGTGCGTTTGTGGGATAGTCAAATTCCAGAAGAAAACTGGACGACACCCGAAGATAAGTATCTATATATGTATATGGATAAAGATACCACGATTAGATTTCGTGTCATAGAAGAAAAGTTCACTGATGTTGGTACGAAAGGTCCACCACCAAAAAGAACTGGCGCTGTAGCAGGCCAAAAAGCACCTATGCCTTCTTCTTCTTCTTTACCGTCGGACGTTATGATTGTAGGTAATAACCGTGGTGGAAATACCCAAAATGTAAAGACAGACACTACTACTAATGCACCAACCGGAGGCAAGCTGGTTCCATATGAATTGATTGGTTCAATCGCTGAAGTGGGTTTGGGTTTAACATCGTGGAAATGGGGCTAAAAATATTGGCTTTTTAAATTTAGTTTCTAATAAAATAATAAGTGTGATGTTTATAGCTGGATAAGTATATCAATAACCTATATCATTAATCAGATCATTAATCAGATCCTGGAAACAGGAAAAACCATTTCAAACGATGTTTGTACCATTATTAAATCACTGCAGAATTAAATATATTGCATCAATATTCGTAATTGTTAATTATGCACTATTATAGCTTTCGCTTAGGTGTCTTTTAAAACTTTCATTTTACTTATTTTAAACCTCAAGGCTTTTAAATACTATATTATCTTTTGACATTTTGATTTATCAAGAAATTGAAGTATAGCGAACCTTGTTATAAAGATAAGATATAATAATAAAATTTATGATAGCTAAAGTTTGTAATCATCATTTACAGTATTTAATTTGTTTATTAAAATTTTGCGACAAATTACATTTTATTTTTTGATATATATCTAATATTTTTTTCTATTTACACTTTTTTTTGCAGGGATACTTAGTTTAAGCTAACAAAAAAAGAAAGTTAGCTTACTTGCCCTAGTCATCACGTAAAGGTGCATCCTATGACTAGGTTTATAACAACCCGCCATAAAAGACGTATGAAATAATCACCCAAGAAAAACTCAATCTGACCTAGAGTTAGGCCCGAGTGGTCATTTTAAGCAAGCAAACAAAGAAATACATGTCGACGTTAACTATGTGCAACAACAGACAACATCATATAAAAGCCCGGAAAGCTTTGGAAAGAGAAAAAAAAAATTATACTAAAAATAGGGCGTTCCCGCCTTGGGAGCGCGATGCAGCTCATCACTACACCATTCCGTTTCTACTTCGCCGATCGTAATCAGGCTCAGCCATCATATTACCCCCGCAGCGTGAACCCTGCGAATAAAATATTTTTCTGTTATCGACCATAGATACCTTTTTGATCAGACAACGATAATCAGAAAAAAATTTTGTCGATTGGTCTGATTGGTCAGAAATCTGTGCCAGTATAATGCGATATACTATATATATATCTGATATATATATCGAAAATCATTTTCTAATACTTTAAAATCAAATGATAGAAAACTTTGCGGAAACACAATTAAAAAAATATGGCTGGTCTCAAGGTCAAGGTTTAGGGAAGAACTTTGAGGGAAGAAAAGAACCTATAACAGTAATAAATAAAAATGATATGCGTGGGGTAGGCATTCCATACAGAATTGAATTAATTTTTAATGAAACGAAGGAATCGAATTCAACCTGTCCGTGTAAATAAAATTTATTTGTATTCGGTGTTCTTATGAAGCTCGGTGACAATTCTGAAGATTGGTCTTTTGAATGGTGAGATTATATATGATGATTACCAATTCTCTTAATTCAATTTTCAATGACAACGCCTATATCTTTTTTAACTCTATTATAAGGTGGGATCGTGTTTACACCAAGACTTTAGATAATATAAAAGTATCAACAACTTTGGATGGGGTAAATATTTAATTGTCCGCCCTTAATTAAGAAATAATTAATAAATTATGAAAAAGTGACAATTGGACAAAACAGCTATTTAAAATTAATAGGATGTAAATGTGTCCAAAGTTTCTAAAGAGGCAATAATCCCAAGGAATCGAGCTGGAATCATTAGTACCGAGGAGTCAATGTATTCTCTTACTCTTCCCAGCTCGACGGAAAATGATAAATCTCTCTCTTCATCAACAGTATCTGTTGCTAGACGCCCATTTTTATATGATAACTTCGTCAAGAGTCTGACTGGACCATTAGACATGGATAGGTAAGAGTTATACAGTTGTATTATACGCTTTTAAAATATCAGATTTAAAATTCTTTTTAATTGTGTTAGGATAAACAAGCCAGCTACAAAACGGATGGCATCTAATAATTTGGACAGAGATTATGATTCGAATGAGGGAAATAGACATCCAATTGAAGACTTACAAGAAGACATGGCTAATGTAAAGCCTAAAATCGAACGAAAAAGTAAAAAATCAAAAAGCAAGTCAAATACCAAAAAATTTAGAGGTTCAATCGAAACCAAGAACAAAAATAAAGCAAAAAAAAAAAAAATAGAAAAATAGAGAGAAAGATGTAAAAAATAATAATAAAATAAACAAATAAAATGTTTAAAAAAATAAAACATTAACAATAAGATGAAATTTTATTATATCTACTGTATAATCCCGGTCCTATGGTCTGGTATATTTAAAGACGCTGTTTTGTTAAAAAGTTATATTTTACGTGCATTCAACTAGAAACTAGGTTTCTTATGTTGAAATTAATTGGCAACTAACCGGTATAAACCACGATTATTCCCGACTTTCAGATGTTCAGATTCATTGAATACGATTGCCATAACTTACCATTACTGCTGTATGTTACAAGTATTCTTTTCGTGTAAAACTCATTCATTTCCGATATGGATTTACGCACATCAAAGATGAAAGCTGTCAAAGCTCAATCTAACCTTATTTAGAATTAAAAATTTTTCGATATTTTAATGATTCGAGTTTTTTTTATTTTTAAATTGCATAATGTCCGGGCATGATCCTCTGACCGCTTCTAGACGCTTGGATATTTTACTTAAGCATCTTAATAATGAAGAGGATACTAATAATAATTCAAAAGAATGGCGGACTTTATCTCCAAGTCAATGTTTAACTGTCTGTACTAATCGAGACAGAAAATGGAATGGATACGGCTATAAAGACACATTTTTTAAATTTGATGAACGTGGAACTGCCTTTTCAACAGGAAACCGTTATCCAAATTTTAGTTCTAAAGAATTTCATGAACTTCGTCCTTGGCTTGAACAAACACTTCGAATAAATTTGAAAACTGTATGTCCAGCTCAACCCAGTATTATTGAACTGGCTAGTCCTAATGTCAATCATGAATTTTATGATGCAATAAAACCTCAAGGAATCATGATTTCATTTGCGGAGCAAGACAGGCTATCACATGGACACGGTATTAGTACTGCTGAAATTTATAAACTTAGGCATGGGAATTTTGCTCGAATACCCGACGCGGTAATATGGCCAGAAACCCACGAGCAAGTGGTAGCCGTTGTTCAAGCTGCTCTTAAATTTAATGTTGGTTGTATCCCATATGGCAGTGGCTCAAATGATGTTGATGCTTTGGAGTGTCCTGAAGAAATTGAAAAAAGAATGATAATTTCTTTGGACTTGAGGCAAATGAATAGGATTCTATCATTGAGTAAAGAAAATATGTATGTTATAGTTGAAGCCGGAACTGTTGCACAAGACCTCGAAAAAGAATTGAGGAAATGGGGTTTTACTTTAGGATGGGATGCTGAAATGGTTTGTATTTAATCATTTTATATTACTTACTTTTGCTGAACTATTATTATTAAAAAATTAATCGTTTATTGTAATTTTATATAGTTAGAATTTTGTACTGTCGGTGGTATTGCTTCCCTACGCTCAGATGATATCAAAAGAAATATGAGTGGTGATCTTGAACATAGTGTTATAAATTTCAAGATGGTCACCCCTGCAGGTTTGTCTTTATCATTTTTGCAAACCATAATCCATTACATAACTAACTCTTATATATAACGTTATTAGGAACAATACAAAGAAATTATATAAATACATCACCAATTTCTTCGGGTCCTAATTTTCAAATATTATTTGGTACTGAAGGTACATTAGGCGTCATTACTGAATTAACACTTAAAATTCATTTTTTTGCATCTCAACATCTTTACGTTCCTATTTATTTTCCATCATTTCATAATGGACTTTTATTTCTTCGCGAAATTGCGCAAAAGAAAATTATAAAATTTAGTGGTGCACGTTTGGTAGATGAACCTGGATTACAACTTGTACATGCATTTAATACTACAACACCAACTGTTAGATCAATTTTTTCTGAAGTAATAAAAAAATATTACCTGAAAAAAATGAAAAAACTGGAAGCTGGTAAAATGTGTTTGGCTGCTATACTTATTGATGGTGATGATATTGTAAAATTAAAAGTATGTGAAAAAAAAATTGGCGAAATTGGAAAAAAATACGGTGGCGTAATTGCTGGAAGTGATTTAGGTGAAAGAATGTATTTCGTATCAAAGGTAAGAATAATGAACAAGGATGAATAATCCACGAATATGCTTCTGTATTCTAATAATTATTTTACTATATAATTTCGTAGAGATTACCTTACCTTCGTGATTTTCTTTTAGATTATTATGCAATTTCTGATCGATTAGATGCCACTGCCTCGTGGACAAATGTTGAAGTGCTTGTCGAAAGAGTAAAAGAAACAATTACGAATACATGTAAGGCTCAAAATATTCGACCAAGACCATACATTGGAGTTCGGATTGACCATATGTAAGTTATTACGCGTTTGTTAATTTCCCCTTTTCTTCTGGTGTTAATCTCAGTTAATACACGTATATTGTTATTTATTAGATATGACATAGGTGCAAGTATAACTTTCACTTATGGATTTAATTGTCGCAATCTTGGTGATCCTCTTAGTGTATTAAAACTTATAGAACAAGTTGCGTTAATTGAAATATTACGATCAAATGGATCCGTTACACATAATACTTCCGGTATAGGAAAAAGAAAAAAAGAAACTTTTCGAGAGTCTTTGAGCGAGGTATTACTGAAATTTTAGATAAGTCTTTTTTTTTAAAAAAAAAAACAAACTAACATCTAGTAAACTTTAGCCTGTCGTTAAAGTTTTAAAGAGTATAAAAAAGTATGTATCCATTAATTGATTTTAATTGAACAATTTAAAATGGTTTTTAACTAAATTCATTTTTCTCATCTATGTAGGACACTAGATCCAACAAATATATTTTGTAATCAAAATTTAATGTAAAATCATTTTTTTACATTATATAAAATTCGATGTTTTTTGATAAGAATGAAAGTAAATTTTATCCTAATTTAATAACAATTTAGTTTAAAACACTGTATATACACAAGATAGTAATGGATTGTAATCAATCAAAAGTTAAATTTACGGTCTTATTGTCAGTTAACTTTTTTCTAAAGTTTAAAAAAATCCACACTACAAAAATGAAAGAATAAATACAATCATTAATTTTTCCATTGTTCTCCAACAATGTCAGTCCATTTTTTATCCTTCAATTCACTGAGGATTCCATCTTTGATCTCTCTTGCTTTGCCTACACCATCATATGCAAGGCTGGTATAAAGCTGTACTAATGTCGCCCCAGCGCGTGCATATTCTAGAGCGTCTTTAGCATCAGAAATTCCTCCACACCCTACAAGAGTCAGCTCACCATTTGTACGTTGATATATCTTTCGTAAAGCTCTAAGTGCTAAAGGTTTAACAGGAGGTCCGGAAAGACCCCCAGTTTCGGAAACCAATGATGAATCTATAGTTGATAATTACGTATAAATAAAATTAAGATGACTTTCTTATTTAAATATCGCTAGATTTATATTCAATTTATACCAACCGCTATATAATGAGTTTGGTCTAGAAATTGTCGTATTAGACACAATTATACCATCCACACCGCTCTTCATAGCAGCATCAGCAATATCATCTAACTCATCATCAGAAAGGTCAGGTGCGATTTTAACCAAAAGAGCCGGATGTGGACCGCTCAACGAATTACGTGCAATTGTAACCTGTAAATACAAATACCAATATTAAAAAAAATAACACCAGATATTTTCACATAATAGGAGTATTACCTCATTTAATAGCTTCTCGAAAATATCTTTCCTTTGCAGTCCTCTTAATCCCGGAGTATTTGGGCTACTCACATTAACAACTAATACGTCAGCATAAGGTCCTAACGATTTTACCCCTTTAACATAATCGTCTACTGATTCAAGATCACTTGATTTATTTTTCCCTAGATTTATGCCTAGCAATTTATCATCCTTTAAACTTCTATTAATTCCTAAAGCATCAGACAATGAGGCACCGTCTGGAGATGATGCTAGAAGAGAGGCAGTGATCTTAGGATGAAGTTTTGCCGAGTGATAAAGATAACGCCGAAGGCGATCACGGAGTCGAAGTTCTACTCCCTTGTGACCGACTGAATTAAATCCGTATCGATTTATTACCGCTTTGTCATCATGAAGGCGAAACATACGTGGTTGAGGATTCCCAGGCTGTAGAATTAATTTTTATTAGCATCCATTCAAAAATGGAGTATCTTACTTTTGATCAAATATTTACCTGAGGTTCAGGAGTAACACTTCCGATCTCTACATAACCAAATCCAAGATCGAAAAGACTATCGATGGCTTCACCATGCTTATCGAATCCAGCAGCTAAACCGACAGGATTAGATAAATTTTTACCCCATGCCTAATAAATCGACGACGGACGATCAGCATACCTCTAACTGTTTAATAACTGGAATTTGTAAGATATCTTACTCTAACTGCTAATTTTTCGTCATCCGCAAGTCTGTCTTTTGCACAAAAGCCCCACTTTGCCACCCATATGGCAAGTTTATGACTCGTCTCAGCATCAGTTGCGGTTCTCAGAACAGGTGTAATAAAATATTTATGAATAGCAGCCCTTGAATCAAAATAATATTCTAAAAAAGTAACTCCCAATACAATGCTGACAGTTCCAATAATAAAATTTTTTAGTCTTGCCGTAGAAGTTGGTAGTTGTTGGGTCACAGTGGTGGACAAAGCACGGGATCTCAGTCTGACAAAGGCAAAATTTGGTTTGTTGACCTGATACGGTCTCGGAGTTCTCCAAGTCCTTGCATAACTATACGTTCTAAAGAGAGTCATTTAATTTTTAAATTTAGCTCATTTTTAGTTAAACATCTTTTCTAATCGGATTATTCTAGAACTTTCTGATAACAATCATATTAGTAATGATTATTGCTCAATTCATTATAAAAAGGGACCGTAAAAACTTCAACCCTTAAGTTCTCTTTCCCTAAATTTATTTTTCACTATCCAAACCTTGGTTTTTTTTTTCAAACAAAATGCAAATTTTCGTTAAAACTCTTACCGGTAAGACCATCACTCTTGAGGTCGAGTCATCTGACACTATTGACCAGGTTAAACAAAAGATTCAAGACAAGGAAGGAATCCCCCCAGACCAGCAACGTCTCATTTTCGCTGGTAAACAATTAGAAGATGGTCGCACTTTGTCAGATTATAACATTCAAAAGGAGTCAACACTTCATCTCGTTTTACGTCTCCGTGGTGGCATGCAAATTTTTGTAAAAACTCTTACCGGTAAGACCATCACCCTCGAGGTTGAGTCGTCTGATACTATCGACCAGGTTAAACAAAAAATTCAAGACAAGGAAGGAATTCCACCAGATCAGCAACGCCTTATTTTCGCTGGTAAACAATTAGAAGACGGTCGTACCTTATCAGATTACAATATTCAGAAGGAATCTACACTTCACTTGGTACTTCGTCTCCGTGGTGGTATGCAAATCTTTGTAAAAACGCTCACTGGTAAAACCATCACGCTTGAAGTTGAATCATCAGACACTATTGACCAAGTAAAACAAAAGATTCAAGATAAGGAAGGAATTCCACCAGATCAGCAACGTCTTATTTTTGCAGGCAAACAATTAGAAGATGGTCGTACTTTATCAGACTATAATATCCAAAAAGAGTCAACTTTACATTTAGTACTACGTCTTCGTGGCGGTATGCAAATTTTCGTGAAGACTCTTACTGGCAAGACAATAACCCTCGAGGTTGAATCATCAGACACCATCGATCAAGTTAAACAAAAGATTCAGGATAAGGAAGGCATTCCACCAGACCAGCAGCGTCTCATTTTTGCTGGCAAACAATTGGAGGATGGTCGTACTCTTTCAGATTATAACATTCAAAAAGAATCTACTCTTCATCTTGTGCTCCGTCTTCGCGGTGGCATGCAGATTTTCGTTAAAACCCTCACGGGTAAGACCATTACTCTCGAAGTCGAGTCATCCGACACTATTGATCAAGTAAAGCAAAAAATCCAAGATAAAGAAGGAATTCCACCAGACCAGCAACGTCTCATTTTTGCGGGCAAACAATTAGAAGATGGTCGTACGCTCTCTGATTATAACATTCAAAAGGAATCTACACTTCATCTTGTTCTCCGTCTTCGTGGCGGTATGCAAATCTTTGTTAAAACTCTTACTGGTAAAACTATTACACTAGAAGTCGAGTCATCCGATACTATTGATCAAGTAAAACAAAAAATCCAAGATAAAGAAGGAATTCCACCAGACCAGCAACGTCTTATCTTTGCCGGCAAACAATTAGAAGACGGTCGTACCCTCTCTGACTATAATATTCAAAAGGAGTCCACACTTCATTTAGTACTCCGTCTTCGTGGTGGGCAATAATGTAAAGCATTATCTTCGATGGTGGGAAGATTTGGGTTTGGATAATGTGATTTTATGATTTTATAAATTCATTAGCATAGTTTATTCAGCTTTTGATAGATGCTATTAAATGCATGTAATTCGTTCTTTTTAGTCCTTTGATTTATTTTAAATAATAAAATCACAATAAGGGTTAACTAATAATCAAGAGTAAATTTGAATATAAAATTTGTTTTTAAATTTTTCTTTCTGAAATATGCGAATATAAATTGCCATACAAGACGTTTAAACATTAGATTAGTAAAGCAGTACACAGCAATGTGATGATTTAAAAACTTTTTAAGTTGGAACTAATTTCTTTGAAGATCGTGTCATCGGTTCGACCGGGCTTCTTAGGAATATTAACCAGATGAACGTTTGCAATCCTATTCGTGCATTTTGTTCGTTATATTGATTGGATGCAGATAACTATCCAGTTCTCTTGATTCATAATATTAGCAATATAATCTAAGGCTAATCCTAGCATCCATCAAGGGGCAATCTGAAGCATAAGCGTAAATATAAAGAAATTGCTGAGGTATGTATTAATTATTTTTTGGCGTTTTTTTCTGAAAGGAATGTTTGTACTTTTTATTAGGATCTCGTTTCAGAAAATGTAAAATATATGGCATTTCAAAGTATTTTTCAGGAACCTCAAAGAGGAATACGGGCTCAGATGCCTCCACTTTCACCACCACGATCCCAGACACCAACAACACCAAAAAAAAGATGATAGAATATGAAAAAGTAAAACAGTAAGTTCAAGCTAAATATTATATTTATCTTTTTATGATCCATTTTAACAATGCTATCTTTAGATAGAAAAAGATTTGGCAGACAAGATATCTTCATATCAAAATTAAATACCTTTAGTCTGGACAGAGGATTTAGAGAATATTTTTATAATGCATTATAGTTCATTAATAATAAATTATTAAAGAGATTGATTCGTTAAAAAAAATATTGAAGTATTAAGTAGCAGTAAAGATATTATAGTACTTAACTAAGAAATAGTTATCAGAATTTTGAATATGTTTCTATAGCTTCGAATATTACTATTGGCCTATATGTTATACTAAATTTTCATATGGGATTTATTTGTTGTAAAATTTGATAATCGCTATATGCATAACAATAACGATAACTGATAATGAAGCTTATGTAGCATTTTATGCAGGTAACGTGAATTTCAGTCTGATCAGAAGTTTACGCGCATCACGTGATCAACACTCCGAAGTCAATCTTCCCCAGCAGCAAAACATTCATTTTTGATACACCTGCACCTACTTTTTTGATACTGATCGACATGCAGATCCCGGTAAAAAATAAA